ATAAAATAAATGATAATTCTCGCTGAAAAATACGGTAAAATACCGAATAGGTGAATTTTTATATATAACACCAGGTCGAATATAATAAAAAATCCAGGCAGGGCCAAAAAAAAATTTTAAATGAAGGCTGGGCCTAAAAAAATTTTTTCAAAAAAATCGGTCGGGACGGGCTGTGGAAATAAAACCTCTGCAGGTCTCTGATATATGTTTTAATATTTCATACATAATTTTTTTTTATAGCAGTCTTAATATTTTTTAATATATATATATATATTTAAATTAATTATTTCAAAATATTTAAATAATAAATAAACGGAGCCGACTTGGCCTTTGTACAACACTAAATAAGATCTTGTTTGGTTTTTTTTGATCAAAATATTGAATTACTAAATAAGATATAAAAAATAATAATGAATTTTTAATGTCTAAAGTTTATTTATATTTTTAGCCAATTTGCGAAAACACATAATAACTTCACACCCAGAATCCCTATCCACTGTATCTGTTAAAGTACCCGATACATTATATGGTTCTAGGAAATTAACTGCTGATGAAAATTTGTATTGTAATAAATTAATACTTCGATATTTGATAAAAAATAATATTGCCTTTCATACAATAGATAGTCAATATTTTAAGGACATATTTAGATATTTAAATAAGAATGTCAAAATATGGTGTAGGCAAACTGCCATCAAGCACCTAGGCTTATTATATAATTGTGCCAAAAACAATATAATAAACATTTTGAATCAAGAAGAATGTCAGTTATCATTAACTACAGATATCTGGACTGGGCTAAATTCTCTATCATATTGTGCGCTAACAGTCCATTTTATAAATAAGGATTGGAAGTTGAAAATTTTTTTACTAGATATAATAGAATTCCCGCATCCTCACACGGGAATAGATATATTTGAGTTGATAATATCAACTCTTGAGGAATTCCAAATTGAAAAAAAAATATTATCTATAACTCATGATAATGCTGCAAATGTTATAGTAGCTGCCGATTTGTTGGTAGATTATTTCATAAATAATGGTAACGCCAATGCAAATAATAATAGATGCTTAGCACATGTAATTAATATTATCGTTCAAGCGGGCTTAGACAGCTTATCTACTCATCTTGCCAAAATACATATTTTAATTAGCAAAATGCACAAAAGCCCAAAGTTTATGCAAGAGTATATCAATTTAAGTGGAGGCTGTAGGATACCACTAGATATAGCCACTAGATGGAACAGTATGTATTTAATGATAACTAATGTTAATAAAGTAATATTTTATTATTTGATATTTTTTATAATCAATAGAATATAGATGCCATCATTAATATAAGTAGGCGATATTTACCCAATAAAGATAATTTGAACCAAGAGGAGGCAAGGTTATTGATTGAGCTAGAGTCATTTTTATATCCATTCTATAAAATCACGTGTGAAATAAGTTCGGCGTCAACATCTACAATTGGGATGTCAGCATTATATTTAGATAATATAGCGAATTCTTTATCGCTTAATGCCCAATCACATAAAAATATAATTATAAAAAGTGCTGCTAATATAATGAAAGAAAAATGTAATATTTATATCGAATATTTCACCACATTTTCAAATTATGCATCATCATTTCTTGATCCAAAAATTAAGAAAACATTTTTACCAAATTTCATAAAATATAGTTGCAAAATAGGCATTTTTAAAATATGTTTGTTACAAGGTTTTACAATGGATTTGATTATATAATAAATAATTAATTTAATTTAAATATTTTATATTAAGGAAATCATACATTATGCCAAATTTAGACGGAGAAGAAATCGAAGAATATTTAACAGATCCGGTTGCTCAAACCTCTGTTGATATTATAGATTGGTGGTCTCGAAACGCTAATCGTTTTCCAAAGCTGTCGACAATGGCCAAATTACTTATGCGAACAAACTACGTCCTTAGCAAGCGAACGTATTTTTTCTCGAGCCGGCACAATTATTACTAAGAAGAGGAATAGGAGGTCAGCCTCAACGTTAAAACAATGCCTATATATATAAATTCATGGGATGTTAATCTTTTAAATTTGCGTGACGAATTTTTTGTATAATTTGTTATTTTTCCATTATTTGTTATTTGATTTCATATAATTTTTATTTTTTATTAATGAAAATAATAAAGATATGAAAATGTGCCTTATTTATTTTGCATTTGTAAATTTTTACTTATAAAATATAAGAGCCTACTTGCGATAAATGAATAATAAATATATCATTTTTAAAAAAATAATAGTTAATATTTCAAAAAAGAAAAGGGGGGGGGGGTTTATAGATAAAAAAAATTTAATTCCTAATTAGTAGTATCTCTGAAGATCTAAATGTTTTCCAAATTTTTTCTATGAAGTATGAATATTTGGATTTTGCATAAGTCATCCACACAATTACCAAAGAAAAAAAATCAATTAAAATTTATAATGATGCAATAGTGGTAGAAAGTATTTAGTGGGTTTAGCAAGGCCCGCTAACACTCGCTTTAACAATCGTGATATGTAAACAAAATATTTGTAAAACTCAGAAATTATGAATGTCAAGAATTATATCCATGATCTTAAATCAAATAATAATTAAAATCTTGTGTTTCAAATCAAATTAGATATAAAAAATTTATAGTAATTACATATTACTTAATATTTTTATAAGATTAGAAAAAATATATGTATCTGAATGTCTTAAATTTAAAAATGAGTTCCTTGCTCAATTTTCCCTGTATTTTCCTATTATCTACCAATCCTTTAAAAAGTTTCAAATGATATACCACTCATATCTAATACCAAATATTATAAACTAAGTTCAAGTTAAAAAAAAAAGAATGAAATATAATAGCAGTATCAATATTAAAGGTTTAGAAATATTTTTCTAATTATAAAAACTTTTTACTAGTCTGAAAATAAGTATAAATTATTTAATATTTCTAGATTTTTAAGGGCGAAGTCAAAAAGTAATGAAAGAAAAAATTTCTTACGGAATCCAAATATTTTATAACATCTTTCCAATATTAAAATTTTTTTAAATAGGCTTAAAACAATTTTAAATAAAATTTTCCTCATTGGAATAAAATATAATTGCAGTGTCACCTTATTACTAGATCCAATGGTTTTAGAAAATCTTTAAATATCCAAAACTTTTTACAAGACTTTAAACATAAATAAAATGTTTTTTTAATTTTTACATTTCAAGCGTGGTGTTAAAAAAAATGGCAATAGAAATATCTTTATAAAAATAAAATTTTTGAACTTTATAATATTAAAAACCACTAAGATTAAAAGAAAGTTTAAAAAAACTTAAAGATGACGATTATGACAATTGTCACTTTTCTAAGGTACATATTCACTGAAAATTTAATTAAACATGTTTGCAATATATATTTTTACCTATTTGCTTCAAAAAAATTCGAAAAAACTTAAAAATGACGATTATGACAATTGTCACTTTTCTAAGGTACATATTCACTGAAAATTTTATATAACATGTTTACAATATATATTTTTACCTATTTGCTTCAAAAAAATTCGACAAAACTTAAAAATGACGATTATGACAATTGTCACTTTTCTAAGGTACATATTCACTGAAAATTTAATTTAACATGTTCACAATATATATTTTACCTATTTGCTTCAAAAAAATTAGAAAAAACTTAAAAATGAAGATTATGACAATTGTCACTTTTCTAAGATACACATTCACTGAAAATTAATATAACATGTAAATATATATAGTTTTACCTATTTGCTTCAAAAAAATTCGACAAAACTTAAAAATGACGATTATGACAATTGTCACTTTTCTAAGGTACATATTCACTGAAAATTTAATTTAACATGTTCACAACATATATTTTACCTATTTGCTTCAAAAAAATTCGAAAAAACTTAAAAATGAAAATTATGACAATTGTCACTTTTCTAAGATACATATTCACTAAAAATTTAATTTAACATGTTCACAACATATATTTTTACCTATTTGCTTCAAAAAAATTCGAAAAAACCTAAAGATGACGATTATGACAAATTTTAATGCAAGCCGACCCAGCAAGCCGACGAAACAAGCCAACCCAGCAAGCCGACCCAACAAGCCGACCCATCAAGCTGACCTAACAAGCCGACCCAGCAAGCCGATCCATCAAGCCGACCCATCAAGCCGACCCATCAAGCCGACCCCGCAAGCCGACCCACCAAGCTGACCCAGCAAGCCGACCCATCAAGCCGACCCAACAATCCGACCCAGCAAGCCGACCCAACAATCCGACCCAGCAAGCCGACTCATCGGGTCGGCCCATTGGGTCGGCTCATGTGGCCCATTGGGTCGGGTCTGATCTATGGCTAAATGGGTTGGCTCGGGTTTAAGGTCGTTTTTTTCGGCTCAAACCTTGCTGGGTTTTCGGCTAAGCCGACCCGACCCAGCAATTTAACAACACTGCACTAGAATGGTGGAAACTTCACGTTGATCGTTTTCCCGTTTTATCTAAAATGGCGAGAGACATATTATCAAATCTTCAACCTCAAGTGAATGACCCTTTTCTGTTGGAGCGCATATTCTCACCAAATATAGAATGTCGTTAAAAGAGGATACAATCCGTTAAACTTTGTTTTTAAAAAATTGCTTGTTGACAGATTTGTCATCTACATAATAGGAATATTATATTGATTTTTCTACATTATATATAAATATACATATGTATGCTTCTATTTTATCTTATTAATAAAATTTATTTGTCTCTTATCCGTAGTTAAATTTAATATTCTATTTATTTTTATTTATTGATAAATATTCTAATATGAATAATAAATTATTCGATTTAAACGAATACGAATAATGAATTATTCGATTTTAACAATACGAATAATTCCATTAATCGATTCGTATTTTTATTAATATATTTCCCATATAAACCATTTACTTTTTTTTAAAAAAAGTACTGATTATAATGTATTTAATAGTGTTCGGAAAATTATATAATTTTTTATTTATTAATGATATATATGTCATGCGTCACATGTGATCTCTTATGCCAGCCATTATATTAGTTAGGCCCTTCTAAGATATTATAATAAAGATGTGCGATGCTGCATCTATTAAAAAACTAATATGGGATGGTAATATTGCTATTTCTCTAACTTTAGCTAAGGATGAATTGAATACTGTTGGAATTCCTGAACCTTATTTTGTATTTTTTTTTAAACTGACTTAATTTAAAATTATATAAGCTTATGATACCAAGGTTCTTCTATTATCCTCTTATATGGATTAAAATAAAGCATTATTATGTACATCTAGACAACAAATTAAAGGATAAAAGTTTATTTTGGCTTGAAAATAATGGAAAACCATTAAAATGGTATATTAATATAAATATTTCAATAATAAATTTTAAGGAATTATCCCATTGGTGTTCTTTATGATACATATCAAAATAAAATTACAAAACCTTGGAATTTAGTTATTCACTTTGAGGTAAGTGGCTAGTGCATAATTTTATAATATTCATATATAGAATTATCCTTATCAACAGTTATTGCAATATACAGCTGAAACAATAGAAGCACTCTTTTTTTCTATGCTAAAAGAAGCAGATTATCTTAAAAGTAAAAGTCAAAACATAAATTCATTACAAAAAAAGGATTTGAATCAACTTTGGCAGAGTTTAATTTCAAGTAAAGCAAAAATTTTCTTACATCTTATGAATTACATAAATTAATTTTTTAATTGAATATATTATTTCAACGATCTTATTATTGTTATGTATGCAATTATTCAAGAAATTTATATTAATTAATAATATATAAGGCTGTGCCAACCCATTAATTTTTCTCTGATCCAATATTTTCTGATATTACTAAAAAAAATAGACCCAATACCCCAATTTTAAAATAGAGTAAATATAGATTTACTCCAAAATATTATTTCCTATGCCTCAATTTAGCTACTAAGCAATATATGGCAAAATTTATAAGCCTGAGTAATTTAAATTTGACCAAAATCTTTAGTTAATCATTTTTAAAAATTGGCAAAATTAAGCTGTTTAACAACATTTTGGATGCAATATAGATATTTTAAAATCCTTTACTTGTTGCAAATGATATAACAAAAAATAATGTAAAATTTTTAACTACTTTTTTAAACACTACAGCAAATATATTGTATTAGTTCCCAAAAAAATATGAAATTCGTCCATTTAAATTTCTTATAAAAACACTATCTATGCTGTCCAATATTTAATATTGGCACAGCCCTAGTAATATAAATTAATTATTATTTTTAAATTTATGTATAAATATTTGAATAATTATGACTTAATTTTCAAATTATTATATCAAATCTTTTAATCTTATTTAATATTTTGCAATGTTAAATTTTTATTGTTTAATTTAGTTTTATAACAATTAAATCCATTCTTTAAACAGATAATTAACTATATAGTTTTAAAAAAATTATTTTACTTTTAACCAAATATTATGAAATATTAATATTGTTAATTTTAAGATGATTTTGACTTATTTTGGAAGATCAATTGCAAACTTTATCAAATTCCTTTGCCTAAGGATCTCCAAATATATCACCTACCATTCCGAATATACATAGTATAATTATTTTTATATCATAAATAGATTTACAGTTGTTACTGACTATATGGGAAATTTATAGAGTTGTTAAAGTAGTATGATACATTTTTTTGTAGCAGTAAGTAAAAGTGTGCTACTTTTTGGAAATTAAAATTTTAATAGAATGCACAAAGTAGCATCACTACTTTTCAATTAAATATGATAAATATTAACCATTGAAAATTAATTTAAAATTTCTATATATCATCTTCCAAATATATATTTATATTATTTAAAAATATTTTTGCTCTTATCCCTTTGATTTGGGAAAAGATTATCACTGATTGAAAAGATACCGATAACAACATCTAGTATTGCTAAATTCGAGTTCATCCAACTCAGAGTTAGTTAGTCTTAGTTGACTAACTTATTTCAGGACTCTAGTCATGTGAACTTCTGTGGTAAATTCTAGTTATGAACACGAGGATGAGTAGTTCATAATTACCTTAAATTCAAAAAAATTATTAATTTTGTTTTTTTTGGAAATAAAATTAAGAATTTGGGAAGACTCACCTATCTACAGTGTTATGATGATTTAATGAAACATGTTGACGATTAAATTATAACTTATCCATATAAAATTATTTTCTTTACAAAAATAATTAAAATAACAAAAGGAGTAATAAAAGAATTTTCAATAATGCTTTGTCTATATTTTAATTATTTTTGCAAAGAAATTAATTTTATATGGATAGGTTTTAATTGTCAATATGTTTCATTAAATCATCACAACACTGTAGTTTTTTGGTAAAAACCACCCTTTTTATGTATAAACTTACTTTTCTTTTCAGTAAAAACTTTAATTTTTTATGTGAACTGGAGTCGTTTAATTCTTCATTAAAATCAAATAAAAATATCTAAATAATTTAGAATCCTTTATTTAACTAATCATTTTGCTTTGCCCAAATGTACAAATTTTGTTTATTTTTACTTTACCCTATAAAAATTGGAAGCAAATATATGTTCAAACTAGTCTAAAATGGCTGACTCAATATTTTAGCCAGATAAATATTGCCTACACTTCGAGATTTTGCTAATAGATGTCCAAACCTGTTTGTCATCTATGAGCAAAATCTTCAAGCTTGCATTATATTTTTTTGGTTAAAACTTTTAGTTAGCCATTTTTTAAAAAAAGCTCCAATTGATCCATTCGTTACAACGCTTCGGGGCCTAAATATTACCACAGCTGAATTCGCGACATAAAAAGAAAGATGGTGAATACAAACAAGACATTTTTAACATATTATTCAATTTTAATAAATTAATAAAATATTTATATGATAATTTATACAACATTTAACTACTAATATAAAAGTTTAATTATAAATAAAAGTAAAATATATTTTAAAATTTGTTGATAGATTTAATATAATTAAAAACAAATTTGTAAATTTATGCAATATTTAACTACAATATAAAAATAATTAATTATATATAAAGTAATATTTAATTTTATATAAAGTAATATCAATTATATATAATATATTCAATAACTATATATAATAGAGAAAGAATATTTAATTATATAAGCATCAATAATAAATGAATTATATAAATCATTTTCGTTAATACCAGAATATAAACAATCTGTCATATATCACGTTGATTTATCAGGTGAAAAAATGTCAGAAGACAGGCATAAGGATTTAAAATTATGATGTGATATAATATTAATTTTTATACAATACTATATTTTTAAAAGCTGATGATTAAAAAAACATTAGAGCTAATCCAAATGTAAATAAATTGGAATCTATGCAATACTCGAATAAAATAATAATTATAAGCAGAGTTGGGCAGGTCCTTTGGAAAAACAATCTAGATACAGATTCTTTGTGAAAAAATGAATTTTTGATACAGATACTAGTATCGTTTTCAAAATATCAAAAAGATACAATATAAAAGATACTTTCTTAATTAGAGTATTTTAAATAGAAGTAACTTTTAAATTCATTACCAATTAAATTAGAATAGTTTATAAAATACACTTTTTTTTTATTTATTGTGAAGAACATACTCATATAATAAGAAAATCAATAATTAATAAAATATTTAATGCTGAGTTAATTATAATAATCAGAGTATTTAAAATAGATTCATTATTTTATAAGATAATCGAATTTTTCAAATAATTTATCATTAGACATTTCCCATATCGGCGTATTTAACATTGTGCCAAAACTAAATAGCCTTTCAATTAAAGCTGATGAAGTTGCAGTATTATAATTATAAAAAATTTCCTTAATTGAAGGATAATAATTTCGCATTTATAATGTATTTCGACTTTCTGAATATAATTTAAAACCTCCCGTTTGTATTTTTAAACTCAGCAACATTTGTTTCACCAATAGAAATCATCATTTTCTTTATTAGATGTCAAATCTATTGGTGTTATAGTTTGAGCGTGATTATATTCTTTGGTACTATATTTAGGGATTGTTTTAATAATATATTTTGAAAGTGTTTTTTTTTATCATCCGACTCAATCCATAAGTTCTCAAAATATGGATGTGATAAAAAGTCTCATTATATTCATATCATAGGAATATATTTTCTTAAAATTTTTGCCCATACCATCTTGGGCAGCTGTTATTAAAGGTAGACAACATTGTAAATTTGAATTTTTAAGATACCCCTTTTAAGCACATAAATAATATACTTTCATATGTTTAACAAAATTAATTTGTGTTTAACCCTATATCATTTTTTTGTTTATACAGGTTTTTACATAAAGCCTGTACATTGCCTTTTTTTAGTTTTTATTTAAAAAAAATTTCCATTATTTTAAGATTGGGATTTGATTCACAGGAACTTATTACCAAAATTTAAATTTCACTACCCTCTTCTTCACTGCTATGAGTGTTAATCATCCTACAAATTAAAAAATATATAAAATTGGTAACGATATTCTATCGAGTTACATTTATATAAAAAATATGATCGTTATTTATTTTGTGTTGGTATTATTATTTTTTTATCTATCTACCTTAATATGAGTTGTAAATTATGAGAAATTTTGAGCATGATTATTAAAAAGATATTGTATCTTTTGTCAAGAAACTGAAAATGATACAAGATTCTTTTCAGAAAAAAGATCTTAGATACAGATATTAGTATCTTGTTAAAAATAAGTAACTTGTATCTTAGATACAAGTATTCGCGGTATGGCCAACTTTGATTATGAGAGTGTTTTTCTGTTATAATATAATAACTAGATGCCTGCAAGCTTTTTTTTATCCTGATGCTTGGTAAATCTTTTTTTAAAAGACCCAACATGACCCAAACTTTCTGTAAAAGCTTAATAGAGGGGAAAAGTCATTTCAAAAAATACTTTTTAATCTGCCCGATTGATAAATTTTGAGTATCTTATAGCACCTTATCTATTTAGTTTTTCTCTCTCTCCTCATATACTATGTGTCCGCTTTAGACCCAAATATTTTAATTATGATCTTCAGTTAAAGTTTTTTTTTAATTAGGATATATCTCGTCGGCAAGTTGCTTTCCCTCGATAGGCAAAATCTAACTAAACTAGTTTAAATTTATAAGCCCTTCAGTCGGAGCTATATTAAACTTTACATTGATAAAGGAATGTCTATATATATTTAGGTAGATCTATAACTGTGGAGAGATAAATTTTGCAAAGTTAACATCATCCAATAAATCACATTAAAAAATTATTTTTTATTAATATCTTAAATCAAAAATGTTTAATTATTTCTATGTTTATAATTGCTAATATTTAAATCCGTTTAGATTAGGTTTGTTCATAATTTTTTGAAAGAGATTTTATAATTATGGTTCGTATCATACTTTGGGTTGAGCACCTGCCGATGGCTGATTTAATTTTACCATTAACCTATTTAATTAAAACCTATGATTGAGCAAGACATAAGAAAAGTCTATTAATTAATTAATCAATTTTTTTAAGTTAAAAAAGATATCGCGTCAGAAATATATTATCAAAATTGATTATTTGTAGGGCTGTGCCGATATTAAATATCGGATCGGATCGGTCCCGATATTTGACGTTTTTCAAAAATATCGGATCGGCCCGATACCTGTAAAAAACCCGATCCGATCCTTTTACTAAAAATGCAATTCCTATAAAACTTTTGAGTAATGAAACTTTGAATTATTATTTTTTAATAAAAAAAATTTTTTTAAAATATTTTTAAAAAAAATAAATTTTTTCGAGTTTCTATTTTACATTAATAATATTTTATAAATAATTTTTTTTTAAACAATGCAAATATTATTTATTTTTTTAAATATATTTTACAAGTTTTTTTATAAAAATAGAAAGGAACACCCAATGTTTTATTTATTTTTAATTTTTTAAAAAAATAACACCAATTTTATTATTTATACTTTAAATAAAAATTATTTTAAATATGGTTTCTGAATTATGGAAATATTTTGATAAAGATTAAGGTAATTTTGCAATATGCGTCATCTGCGGAATTCTAATTTCACGGGGAGGAATACTGAAAAATTCGTTCAATACAACTAACATTAGGAAACATCTGAAGCGTTGCCATCAAAAGGAATTCGAAGAGCTGACACAAAAAGAACGAGAAATATTAGAAAAAACAAATCAAATTTTTAAAAAAAAGAGCCCTGAAAGTCAGCCAACAATATCAGCCATTCTTAATAAAACTAATATTTGGAAACATTCTGATCCTAAATCAATAATAATTTCTAAATTTATAGGGGAAATGATAGCGTGTGACCACCAGCCGATTTCTATCTTGGAGGATATAGGCTTTAAAAGGCTTTTACATCATTTATGTCCAAATTACAAAATTCCTAATAGAAAGTATTTTTCGCAAGGAGTTATTCCGGATATATATGAAAAACTCTCCGAAAAAATTCGTAAAGAAATTTTGGTTGACGATTATTTTTTATCCTTTACGGTAGATATATGGACTAGAAATTCAGGTGGCGATTCTCACATCTCATTAACATGCCACTATATAAACCAAAATTTTCAACAAATTAATAAAGTTCTAAATGTTAAAACATTTAATGAGTCGCATACAGCAATAAATATTGCTCAAATTTTAGATGAAATTATTAATTATTGGGGTATAAAGAAAAATAAAATACACCTAATCATTAGAGATAATGCACCCAATATAACTTTGGCCATGAAAAATGGGAAATTTCAAAGCGTTTCGTGTTTTGCACATAGTTTGCAATTGGTTGCACAGGCAGCAATTTTATCACAGAGATCTATTATTGACATGCTTACCCGGGTTAGAAAAATAGTAGGGCACTTTAAACATTCTTCTATTGCACAAAACTGTCTAAAAGAAATCCAAATTCGATTAAGTCTAGCCCAGCACAAATTAATCCAGGATGTGCCCACCCGTTGGGATTCTACCTATTATATGCTCGAAAGATTGATAGAACAAAAAAGGGCGGTACAGCTGTTCATTGTCTATAATCCTAATTTGGGAAATCTCTCATTATATGAGTGGGAATTAGCAGAAAGTGTAATTGATGTTCTTGAACCAATTCAGAGAGTAACAAAAGAAATAAGTACGGAATCATATTCAATTAGCAATGTTATACCCTTTGTTGAAATTCTGAAAAGTGAATTAACAATTAATGGGGACACAGATAGAGGTGTGCAGACTATGAAGAATACCACTAATAATCAATTAACAACTCGGTTTTTTGATATTTATGATGATGACAATTATGTTGTTGATCCTCGATATAAGGATTTCTTTTTGCCAAAAAACATATACATAGAAAAGCTCAGGACTGCATGTGAGTCTTTTTTTAAAGGTGATGATAATGTTCAACTTCCAATTTCTAATAAAGATTCGCCAGGTTTTATATTTTTTAAAATAAATTTAGATTTTATTGTTAACTTAGGTAATGACAATGAGAAAAATGTTCCACATAACATTAAAAAATGCAAATTTAATTTAAGGGATGCTTATAAATTGAAAATCAAAGAAAAACTAGTAATAAATGAAATCGATAGTAATGTAAATGATGACCTGCCATACCTAATAGAAATCAAGGAATATTTAAAAGAATCTTTATATATAGAAAGTATAACAACATATTTTTCATATTAATTTAAATATTGCTTGGTTGGGCTATGATTGACCCATTTGTTTGGGTGATTTTTCAAAATCAACAAAAGATTGGGTTTGTATGAAACCCACTATTTTATAAATGCTAATTTTATATTTGTGTTATTTATTTAGAAAACTCGAATAACATTGATGATATTGATATTATATCCCCAGTGAATCCACTTGAATATTGGAGAGTTAATGCTGTAAAATATCCAACTTTATCAACACTTGCACGTAAATTTTTGGCTCCTCCAGCAACAAGTATCCCATCTGAGTCTCAGTACGGCAGGGGATATTGATAGTCCTCATCGTAGAAGCCTATTGCCTGAAAATCTAGAGACTCTTATTATTAAAAAAAATCTAATATATTATAATTTTATATATTAAATATTACAAACCAACATAAAATGGATATATTATTATATATTTTTTTAAAAATTATTGTTGAAATAAAAAAATTAAATTATGCATAATTCTTTTATGCATAAAAAATATTGATTTATTAATTACATTTGGTTCAAAGAGGGGTGGTGAAAAATTAATATAAATGTCGGATCGGTATCGGATCGGTGAAAAATATGTGGATCGGCACAGCCCTAATTATTTGAATAAAATAAGGATTAGAAATTAAGATTTTGTATTTCCTTTATTATCTTCACCCATACACTTGTTTAGATATGATACAAAAATATATGTATAAATAGTTTTATTATGAAATATAATTTTCGCAAATTATCAATTTTTTCAAATGAACAATAAATTTAAAAAGCTACAAATATCCTTTAATAAAATATAATATTTAATTAGTAGTAATATGACATACAGAATATATTCACACAATACAATGTTAATATTAATTTTCTCAAACTATAACACATTATAAAAATCTACATTTACCATGCAGATAAAAATTTAATGGCTGGAAAAGATGTAATAAATTTCACCAATCTTTTCCTCATAAATATAACAACTAGTGTTGTTAAACGCCTCGTTTTGAGCCGATTTTTAAAAACGGCTAACTCAATATTTTAGCCAGAAAAATATTATTTAAGACTCGAGATTTCGCTAAGAGATGTCCAAACCTTTGTTCCTTCTACAAACAAAATCTTCAGGCTTGCGTAATACTATCCTGGGTGAAATACTGAGTTAGCCGTTTTTAAAAATCGGCTCAAAACGAGCCATTTAACAACACTAATAACAACACTCAAACTTAATGCAAATATCGAACTGCCATATAATTTTACTCCCCCAAAAATAATAATTTCAAAAAAATATAATTGAAAATCAATCAACCATACTTTCATTTTTGTCAATGTATTTTAAGACGTATAGAGATTTAGATCCCATATGAGATCTTTTTACATATTTTAAAACGCTAAATTTAAATATAAGATGTTAAACATGTAAGTTTTAAAAGATCCAACATTTTTAAATATGTTTCTTTGTTTTTATTTGGCAACAATATATATGCGCAAGGAATTATTGTATGATTAATCATTATATGAATAGTGTATAATTGCTTAAATAATAATGGACACGAAAAAAATGTACCGTCCATCAAAATTTGGTCAGCATTACAGAGGCATTCAAGTAATTCATGTGTAGAAAATATTAATAATTCATTATTTTCATTACAAATTAAAAATGTTTTATTATCTAGTGTTAAGGTATAATTGCCGTCTAATCGGATATCAGAATTTATAAGAGGTAAAGGAGGTCTCAATGATTTAATAACACGATTCATAATACTTTTCACATAGAAATGTTGGTAGAGCATTAGGATGGAGTTGAACGAGTGGATACATTTTTCTAATACGCATAACTTGATTATATGTTTTACGTTTGCTTTGATAGGGGTATGCTCGAATTAAGTTTATTCATAGTTACTAAAATTGCATAATGCTCTTCCTCAGATTCATCAGAATGGTTGTGAAAATTGGTTAATGTAAACTTCCTATTTAACAAAGTACCTCTAGCGGTACAATGCTTTAGTCTACATTTAAATAAAAAACCAAATTTATAATGTATATATAAATATTTATTGGAATATAATAAATTACGATTTTTTTGGGAAAGAATAAAATTATATGGTTGTTCGATTTTTAAGAATGAAGATTGAATGCTATTAACTATTACTGGAAAAGTATCAGAGCTTTTAGCTGCAATGGAGGTATCTACTAAACCTTCTTCATCTATAAAACTTTCATCTAAGAATGGGAAATGTAGAGGTAGTTCTATGATTTGAGTTAAAGGATCTTGAACTTCTTCCAAAAAGACCCCAGATATCACCACATTTATGTCTTCATCACCAACCTGATTGCCAGATACTTAAGGAAAAATTTATTTTAAAAAAATTTGTTATTTATAATAAAGTTAGATTATATCACAATTTAGATGAACTATTTTTAATAAAATTTAAAAGATAATATATTAACAAAATTTTGATTAACTATGATAAAATTAAAAAGAAAATATATTAACAAAATTTTGATTAACTATGATAAAATTAAAAAGAAAATATTAACAAAATTTTGATTAACTATAATAAAATTAAAAAGAAATATATTAACAAAATTTTGATTAACTATAATAAAATTAAAAAGAAAATATATTAACAAAATTTTGATTAACTATAATAAAATTAAAAAGAAATATATTAACAAAATTTTGATTAACTATAATAAAATTAAAAAGAAAATATATTAACAAAATTTTGATTAACTATGATAAAATTAAAAAGAAAATATATTAACAAAATTTTGATTAACTATGATAAAATTAAAAAGAAAATATATTAACAAAATTTTGATTACCTATGATGAAATTAAAAAGAAAATATTAACAAAATTTTGATTAACTATAATAAAATTAAACAAAATTTTGATTAACTATAATAAAATTAAAAAGAAAATATATTAACAAAACTTTGATTGACTATAATAAAATTAAAAATAAAATATATTAACTAAATTTTAATTAACTATGATAAAATTGATCCCAGAAATCCCCACAGCACCTCCATCTTCTTGTTCATGATTAATTAAAGAAGTCACAATCTCTTCATTTCTTCCCAATGATACTTATGGAAAAATATATTTAAAAATTTTGATTTTCATATTATTTTGTAAAATACTTCCTCTTCTTGCAGTCAAATACTTGCAAATATCTAGAATAAAATAAATTACATCTTGTATATTAAATAATTTACCATTGCAGTATTGAAGTAAAGACTTTATGTAAATTTTCTAGGAAATTTTTCGAAATATTGAAACGAAATGGTATAATGACAAAAGACGGGCAAACAGATCGGACCGATACCGTTACAACACTATGTAAATTATCAAAATTATTATATTTAAGATAATTTTATGTTTTTATATGGAATAGACATTAATAACCCTGAAGCACTTTTTTATGCCATTTATCAGGAGAAGCATTTTAACTGTTTACACATAGCTACTTAACCCCAAGAAGATGTCTATTATAGAAATCGTTATTACTTGACATATAGATAAACATATAAAATAAACGGCATTATTCTACAGCATTAAATATTTAGAAAAATATCGAAGCATAAAAAATAATAATAAATATATACAATAAACAATATGATTATTATTTTTTCTTAGCTGGTTTTATTTAATGCATTAAGTTATATAATTAACATTATTTTTTTCAAAAGATATGCATATATGCAACAATCTAAGTTACTAGTTACGTTTTGGACAAGGTAACTATAATGTACTATTAGAAGTAATTCCTGAAATATATTTTTATTTTATTCGTTATCAAATCGCATTTTCTTTTTACATGCAACTTCCTTTAGCTTCATGACTTGTATCATTTTCCTCCCTCTCCTTTAGGTATATTTCATCGTTATTGTTTATTATGTTCTCTTTTTTACTATCTTTTTGGTTCTCTCGTATACTTTTGTTTTCTCTTTTATTTCGTACTAATATATTTTCGGGTCTTTTCCTTAATTGATCAGTATGACGTGTAATCGTTTTACCCTCTGTATTTACTTCATATTGTGATTCGAGTATGCTTTTAATAGTGGCTTTTTCCCATTTTTTTTCTTTATTACTATAAATGCGCGACCACACTTTCTCATTTAACTCGAATTTTTGAATGTAGTATTGTAACTTCTCCTTTCTGTTCCCCTGAATATTTGGCCTGACAATAATCCTCTAGGTTTAATTTCTAGTAGTATTTCGGCAGGACTTTGTTCATTTTCTGCCTTTGGTGTATTTCGGCAATTGTAGAAAAAAATAGCTAAACTGGTTTCTAAATTCCTCTCGTTTCTTTTATTCATGCTCTGTTTAAAAGTTCGAGCTAAACGTTCGGTCATTCCGTTAGTCTGAGGATGGTAAGGACTTCCGTGCACTAATTGTATTCCAATTTTTTCGCAAATCATGGAATTCTATACTGCTGAATTGTGACCCATTATCAGAAACGATTATTTTAGGAACGAATCTGGCAAAGATATTTCTTAATATTTTCATCGTGCTTTCGGTTGTAGTACTAGTCATTTGAACTATCTCTGGCCAGTAACTGCTAGCATCTATCACTACCAACCAATAATGGTTTTGAAATCACAATTTTGAATTGATGCCTTTTGAGGCATATCTTGTTCCTGACATTCTCTATATTTTTTGACCCATTTTCTATATCTTGGTTTATATTTCACACATATTGTCTTGCTCTCATCTTCATTTTTACCATTATAATATGTCCTTGATGTATCATATCTAACACGTTATTTTGGCATTGTTGTGTATTTATCATTTTAGTTCTTCACAGTAAACTACCTCTCTCAGTTGTGATTTTCTCTCATCTTTGGCTATACTCTTTAAACATGCATCAAAGTTTGTCCACATTGTAAACCTGTATACTTTATAGATTACATCATCTTGCATTGTTTTTCTTTCAATTTCGCTTGCATTTAAAGGCGTTTGTTCTCCCAACCTATATTTGATCTAGTGTTTTTTCTTTTGATATTGTGGTTCCCTATATAGGTAATCTAGATAGCATGTCAGCATTGCGTAGTTGTCGACTACTCTTGAATTCTATCTCATATTGGTAACCTGCTAATAATAAAGCCCATTTTTGTATTCTGGCATTAGGTGTTGTTGGTATATCATTTTTTAGTGAAATAAACACATTAATGGCTTTTGGTCTGTTCGTAATGTGAAATTATTTCCATATATAAATTTTAACCCCAAATAAGATGGCATGAGCTTCTCTTTCTATTTGGTTATAATTTTTCTCTGCTGCATTTAGCGTTCTTGAGGCGAATGCA